CTCCTCTCTCTGAAAATAACTAAATAAAATCTTCAAAAATTTTTTTACAAAAGAAAATGTACTGTATCAAAATACTTGTGGCACAGCTAAAGCAGAGCTGAGGAACACCATTAAATGCTTACATTAGAAAAGAGAAAAGGTTTCAAATAAATAATCTAACTCCCATCCCTGAAAAACTACAAAAAAGTAGAGCAAAAGAAACCCAAAGTGAGCAGAAGGAGGTAATAAAGGTAAATGCAGAAGTCAACAAAATTGAAACAAATAGAAATGATCAGTGAAACAAACAGCTAGTTCTTTGAAAAGATCTATAAAATTGATAAATCTAGCAAGACTGACAAAAATAAAACAAGAGAATTTAAAAATCATCAGTATCAAGAATGAAACAGGATATCATAATATAGCCTTTAGCCATTAAAAGGATAATGAAGAAATACTACTAACAATTTTATAGTCCTGAATTCGACAACTTAGATAATAAACAATTCTTCAAGACCACAGGTTACTGAAAGCTAGCAGAGATGAAACCAATGATCTTAGTAGTCCTATAACCGTAATTAATCGAATTCATAACTTAAGAGCTTTGAAAATTATCTTCAAATAAAAAGTAAACACTAATACCTTTATTGTAAAAATCTCCAGGCCCACGTGGTTTCATTGGAGTAGTCTATCAAACATTAAAAAAGTTTTGTCACCAATTTTACACAATTTCTTTCAAAAAATAGAAGAGAAACACTTCCCAATTCATTTTATGAGGCCAGTATTACTCTGATACCAAACCATGATTTATTTATCCCCAAATGTCCATTTATAAATGTGTACAGGACTTTATGAGCTCATGTTATACTTATGACATGTCCAAGATTTTGGAGAGCCAAGAACAAAGCTACATATATTTCCTTTTAAGTCAAACTGAAAAGCGAATTAGGAGCTGGAGACACTAAGAGAAATTTTTCTTTCTCCCCCTTTCCAATGTATGATCTGTGTATAAATGTCTCAGCTACCCTCTGCCATTTGCTATTGCCCAGCTCTGGAAAGTAATGTAAAAGATCATGGTGCATCAGGAAACCAAAGTCCAGGGTTCCTGATGAGTTCTTCTAGTAAGCCATCTTGGGCATTTGAATAATTAATTGAATGTTATCTGCTTCCGTAAGATGGGCACGCCATTTAGTTCCAACACACAGGTTTCTATGTGATCTTCCTTACCAGCCAATAATGCCAAAACTAGTAATTGTGCTTATGTTGTTACCGTGAAGTGGTTAACACTCATGCTTAAAACCACTGACACTTGGGTGCTCCTCCCAGCTCCATCAACCTCACCATGTGGAGTAACTTATTTTGCGCCGCTGAGTAATAGTTTACTTGTCTATAAAACAGGAGTGCTAATAGCTAAGATTTCCCTTGTAAATTTGCAGAGGGGATTAGACATTGCAATGTCGGTAAACATTTAGCATAGTAACTAACCCATAAGAGATCCTGATCTCATGGTGGGTATAATTATCATTAACATTTCGGTGGCCTTCAAGATATTATTAATCAGGAGTAAAACCATAGCAACATGGGTGTTTACTAAAAGCAGTAGGAGAATTGACTAGTAAAATAAACCTAAACATTAAGAACTGAATGGTTTGTTCCTCAGCACTTCATTTCACTATTTGACCACTGAGAAAAATCTGTTATCAAGTAAGAGACTCCTGTCCCAGTCTTTCAAAGCCAGAATAATTTGAAAACCATAGACTTCTTTAAGCTATAACCTGATAACTGCCTTCGTATGCATTCTTGGGTTATCGACAATTGCTACCCCCTCCACTGTTGGGGGCACCTGATAATGCCAAACTGACAATAATCAATTTTTCCATTAGAAACCTTTCTCTACTATAGGTTTTTATTTTCCTCACATATATTGCTATGAAATTTAAATACCACTGTGCAAGTTTACCATTTAATTTCTCCAAAGTTTCTTAACATTAATGGCCTTTATTTATAATCACCACCAGCATAAGCTTTGTCTGCAACATGCTTAGCACTTTTGTCACCCACTGGTAGGGTGAAGAGTGCAAAATCACCCAGAGGAGGACTTTAGGACCCCTCACTGGGCCTCAGTGTAACTCAAATGTCCATCTACTTATCAATTAATGGAATACCCAGTTCACTTTCTAAAATTCCACTGTGGGTGATGAAATTCTAAGGCCTTGGAAAGATGTAGTAACATACAGAAATTTCAATTCTTCCAAGAATGTAGCAGAAGAAATCAACACTTTTCAACTGTAATTAAATAAAGATTAAGAACAGTGCCAAGAAGCAAATTGAGATTAAAATCTCATTAGGCTACAGCTGACATAATCTTGTCCCATTCTAATGCTTTTCACATGATGGCCGAGTTTGCTATGATACAGTCTGGTGTCAGTGCCAGCAGAAGATGGGAGAGGGTCAGATCCAAGACGCAAAACTATAGAGTACAGGAGGGAAGCAAGAGGAAGGGCAGCACTGTGGGGCGTGCCGTGCCAGGTTCAAGGTCAGCTTAAAGAAAGAGAGGGCCTATCTTCAAGCTCCTTCAGGAAATACAGCTTTTACAGTTACCCAAAGAGGCTCTTTCCTCTCTGAGATAGTCCACTGACCTAGAATTGCTCCCCCAAATAACTGCCATGTCCCTTTGGAAAGTCTCTGATAGTGTCGCTGAATTCAGCAAAAGGCCTGCCAACTACAGGTCCAGGAGCCTCCGTGCATTGTCACAAGACATTACATGCGCTGGGTTACCTGCATTTTATTAGCAGAGGTGATTCTCAGTGAGGTCAGGGGACATCACCTGCCTTCCCACACATTCAGTACAGGTAACACTGCAGGGGACACTGTGTTGGATTTCAGGCCTGATCCCCCTGGGATGGCCACAGAAACTAGGAGCTCAAAAGTCTCAGTCCCCCTGTATCTGCTATGTTCAGCTTCTGGAGAAAATAGTGCTCATGTATCATTTCTCTTTCCTCATCTCCCCAACCCCGCTTCCTTAACACCTGAAACACTTGCTTCTATTTCGAGCAGGATACTGCTTTGGAACGCATTCTTCTAATTGCAGTGTCATTATCTTGCCTTGGGGGTGGCATTTCCGTGGTGAGGTGGGAGCAGGGACACAGTCAATGTCACTGGGCTACCATGGAGCACAGTGAGGCTGGTTAGGTCTCTCTGAGATGGGGAGGGTGGTGTCTGCACCCCTAAATTCCCCCAGTCTTTTACAAAATGTCACATGTATTCTCCCTTGTGTGGACACTCATAAGTGAAGTTGGTGGGAAACTTGAGGTGTATCCCTCATCTAAGTCTGTTGCCAGATCAACACATTCATCCTATGTTCTCAGCCCTGTCCCTCACCCAGACCCAGAGTTTGCAGGGTTAGTGGGTTCCAGAACGTTTGTGACCACATCCTTACATATGGACTATAACACAAGACTGAAATGTCTATTTAGAAAACTGTCACACAATGGCACCAAACTAAGTTTAAACTATTTGCATGATTAGATACATGCATCTTTTTTTCTTCTAAAGGCATTGGGAACCAAAAAGAAAACTTTGCTATGGCCTTTGGACCAATATCTAGAAGATTATAAATAAATTAATTCTTTGATAAACATAAGGAAAAGAAAATAAGACAGTGTAGAATGCAAACAATACATTACTGTAGTATATATCTAAACTGATAGCACAGTTTCCAGGAAATGATAAAGATGGTAATTTTCCAACAGTCAGAGAAAACATTACCAAATGTTCTTTTTAACATAACTAATAATTTGAAAACTTTTTGTGTTCCTATTACTGAAGAAGTGTGAAGTCAATTTAGATGTCAAAATATAATCTTTCCCAAACAAATACAATGTTAAAACATGACGAATTCTGGTTGGAGGCTATACATTTCTCTAATTCTTCTCCCACAAACTTTAAATGGCCACAAGATCAACTAAAGAATCTATAGCTATCAAAATACAGAGGGATTTAATTGTTTATCCAATCGGACAAAATGCTAGCAGTATTCTTAGGGTGACTGTTGGTATTAATCAGTGGCAAGAATCATGCTTTTTGCCATAGCTTATCAACATGGTGCATCTCCTGTTTCTATTGCACACATATATCTGTAGATATCATATACACATATACACATACTCGGTGCAGAAACCAGGTGACAGATGATGGAGCAGGCATTAATGAGCAGCCGTGGGGAGCACGCGCTCTAACAGGACCTACTTACGGAAGGAAGGCAGGGTCCCCAGGCCGGCGGTTTTCCCTGCAGTGCGGTCAGCAGGAAGGACAGAAACCTCTCCCTAGCACAAGTCACTCAGCCCTGATGGGTTGCTGCTGCTCTCGGGGTAACGGCATCCCGTTAGGAGTGTGACACAGTAGGGAAAGAGACCGGTTCACTGTGAGACCTGCTACTCACTCTCGTACAGTGCATCGGCCCCCCTTCCCACTGCACAGTGGCTGCCGAGCTCCGGGCTGCAGGCGGGTGGCCCTCGAGAAAGTGAGCCGTGGAGGCAGGGTTCCAACGGGACATGGGCTGCAATGTCAGTGGCCTTCTTTTAAGACAGGGCTTTTGAGGATGGTATAGAGACAACCTAATGTGGTCCCCTGGCCTGAGGACCAGGGGGAGAATTCTCTTTAGGTTGAAAAGGAAAAAAAAAAAAAAAAAAAAAAGAAAAAGAAAGAAAGAAAGGTACAAACTAGGAAGACAGGGGGTGTGGCTGGCTCTCTGCTTCCAGATACACTAAGAGGATCCAAAACTAACTCATGGAGGCTGCGTTTAGCATGCATGCCTGGGATGCTGGAGTGACGGGGCTTCGCCTTCTTGTACCTGTTGCTTTTCCGCACGGAGTTAATCAAATGCTCCGTTATCTTCTCTGGGTATGGGAAATGAGCGGATGTCAATGGCCATGCTTGGGTACGCATCCAGAGAGGACAGCTGAGAGATTTATGTGCAAGAAGAACTGCGTTAGAGGAGGAAATGGGAGACAGATTCCAAGTACCTGCTTGCTGTGCTGTCTGCGGCATTTGCTGACCCCTCTGAGCACTGTACTGAACGGAGGCCACGGGCCGGTACTGCTGCGTGGTTGAGGTAGGGTACTGACCAGATGGGTAATAATATATGGGCATCTGGGGAAGAAAGGGAAAAACAGCAGGGATTGACAACTGTATGTTAAGTAACTTTTTTTAAACATTAAATAGATTGTCATCGGATGGCATAATATAATTGTAGTAGATTATAAACACAGCCGTCAAAATCTTCCCCCAGGCCTGCGTGTGCGTACACACAACTCCTGCCATGCATGGGGGAAATCTGTTTCCCAAGCCCTTGAATCTGAGCTGGCTGTGTGGCTGCCTTTGCTTCATGATGACTCGGGAGACTTGCAAGCCCGATCCTTATGAAGACTTGTAGTGCAGCTCCCACTTCTGTGGGAGGAGGGCCCAGGCACCAGGGAAAGAAATGCAGGCTATTCAGCTGGAGAAAAGCGCCATGCGGCACCCCAGGCCAGAGGCGGCACCGGTGTTCTAGGCCTGTGAGTGAGGCCATCTTGCAGGTTCCAGCCCCAGCCAATACCATGAGGGGCAGAGAAGAACCACCCCCGCTGAGCTAGTCGTAGCCATTACACTGGAGGTGGTTTTAAAACTCTACATTTTTTGTGCTGTTTTTATTTACTGAAAAAAGCAGGCATGACAAGTCAAACAAAACTGACCATCAAGGGTCTTGAGAAGTTCATTCCCTCCCTACGTTTAACATGTTTCCATGTCTGCCCATGGACTCCACCTCGAGAGTTCTTTTCATTGTTCCACAGTTGAGTCAGCACATTTTAAAATGCCTACTAAAATAATTTAAAATCACTATGGGTTATATCCTATACTTTAACCTTTGTTTCTTCTAAAAAAGAAATTCATGGATGTCCAAACTGATTATGAATAATGAACACACGTGTTTTTTTTGCCCTTCCTCTTTCTGTTTTTACATCTCTTAAAGGGTGGATCTATTGAGGCGTGATTGAAATCACTGCTGTTGCAGAAATCATTTCTGTTGCAGACATACCACGGACTCTGAGTTGTCTTTGCTTGGCAGTCCAGAGCAAATACTGAAATCCTTTCATCAAGGAAGAACTTCAAAAAAAAATCTTCAGTTAAATATTCTGCCATGTCTTCTCTTTGACAGCAAAAAAATGTATAGGAGCACTTATATGCTATTTAGGCTAAGAGAGCTAAATAATTTTTTTCCCAATAATTAAGTTTAAAGTATTTAATTTATTAGCAAAATAATTGACATATTAATGAGGTTCTTTCTCCTATAACTTAAAACTATTTTCCACATCTCCTTAAAATCTATTAGTAAAGAGACATCATGGAGAAGGCCACTGAAGATGAACTGTTAATTAAACACTTAAATAAAAATGAGCAGCTGAGCAAAACTTATTTCAGAGTGGAGGGTTTTGCATGGCTTGAAAAGAAAATAATTTTTTCAAGATGTTAATTTGGTGAAACAAATGATGAGAAGGTGACAAGGTACTTCAAGCAGCTCATCCAATATCATATTTCATAATTAGGATGGAATTTGCTTGGGAAATGTGTGCATTGAAAATGGACCAGAAAACGCCTCTCTGCATTTTACATCTTGACAGTAATCACTGGCAATATTCTGCCGGGGATACCCAGGAGAGCACCGGAGATGTTTCGTGGTGAACAGTAACACATAATCAGTCTTTGAGAAGACAGTAAAAATCAGTGATCTGTGGTGTCTTACATGCTCAAGTCAATTAAATATGATTAATGGCTACTTGTGAGTGCACAAGCAAGCTTGACTTCCCCCTGGGAAGGAAAGGACAGTGGATGTTGGCTTAGCTCCCTCCTTTAGAGTATAGAGGGCCCCCTGCCTGGGGTGCCAGGTTAGCTCCAGAAAATGCTAGGAATCGATAAGAAAGGAAAGAACTCATTTCTAGAGCAGCAACAAGAGGGCACTGAAAATCCCCCAGGACAAGATGGGGTGTGTTCAGGGTGGTATGGCCATAGATCAATTAAGAATAATATAGGAAATGGGGAAGACCAAGAACTTACATGTCCTTTGTCTTACATGTCACGACCCATGGACATGAACTAAGGAGGGAGGGAATGCTGGTGGGAGTGGGGTGCAGGGCGGAGGGGAATAAAAGGGAGAAAAAAAATGGGACAACTGTAATAGCAAAGTCAATAAAATATACTTAGAAAAACAAGAAAGTCCCCCAGAAGCAGGTACTCTTCCCCAAAGCTGTCCCTTCCCAGGTAATCCAATGAGCAGGACACCACCCGGAAGGGACTGTTTTCCTGCGGCCTCTGTCCCCGCGGTCTGGAAAATGGGATGTCTCCCCATTGTACTCATAACATGGACAGTTGGGTCAGTTTTATTTAACTTATTTTTTGAGCCCCAAGGCTTTGTCCAGCTGGTGAACAGGACAGACCAGGTCCTGCAGGTGGGGAATATAAAAGCCTGGACCAGAAGAGCAAGGCATGTTGAACTGGTGATACTCTATGTGGAAATACAGAGGTCCAGGTGCACCATGAATCACCTGCAGGTCCCCAGCGTGAGAAAAAGTGTGCTTACCTGTGCAGGTGGAGGCTGTTGCACAAAGCCCTGTGGCGAGGGAGGGGCCTGGAGGACTTGTTGGGAGATGGAAGGTCCAGAGCCTGAGAACCCGCCCGTGGGGAGCTGCTGGCCAGTGGAGGCGATGACGTAGCTGGGCTGCTGGCTTGGCTGGGGCATGAGGGATGGCGGGTAGACAGGGCCAGGTGGGGGCTCAGGAGTCTCTCCTGAGGATTGCCTGCTCAGGTTCATCTGGCTGAACTGCGTCGCCACGTCTTCTCTCTGCAAGACCCAGAAATAAAGGAAGAGATCAGCAAGGTCAGCTTAGTAATGGGAGAGGCGCGCAGAGGCGGACACAGGCCACATGCCTAGCCTTGTGGGGGAGAGGCAGGGAGTGCACTTTGGAAAAAATACGAGAAAGGAATCCTCTGTCCAGAACAAGAGAACGTAACAAGAGAAAACCCATTTAATCATCCCAAAGGACAGAGGTGGTAAACAATCCGACCCTAACTCCCTCTTTCAATGGAAACAAATTATTTTTTTCATTAATCAGCTGGGCTCCTCAGGATGGTGCTGAGACCAGGAGGGCTGGTGCTCTGTCCTGAAGTGTCAGCCAGTCTTCGCAGCAGTAACCACAGGATCTGTCTCTGGGGAGAGGAAGAAGGACTCATGGCCATTGGCGCTGTGGCTGCTGCAAAGATGGTGTCAGGACCGGCATCACCAACAGGCTGGGCAGGGCCCCATTTGTTTACTAGGGAGTCTTTGTTCACTGGCCTGGCCTGAGATTTAGGGGCAGTTCTCACTCTTGTTGTGCAGAAGGATCTAGTACACAGAGGGAGAGTGAAGGGGGAATAAGGGGATGGAGCTGGGAGGGGAACAAGTATAACAGGAGCCGAAGGGTGGTGATGCTGTCTCATCACTGACTACAAGGTATCCCCCAACCCTCCCCCCAAGTTCATGTCTCTCTGTGTTTCCAACTTCTAATTCTGAAGGCATTCAATTCCTGATTAGCTGGTAAACTCTTGAAAAGGTACCAGATTGCAGAATCACTCGACATGGGACAGACAACAGAAAACAAACAAACAAAACAACAAACCACGATTTTGAAGATGGGTGGCAATGTTCTGGAATGAGATATTCACACATACACCGTCACAGTCAGCCTGGGGCACCCACCCAAGCATCGGCCAGCCCTGCCCAGGAAAGTGGTAAAACCAGTGAGTATGCCCGCCCGCGGGAGAAGCCGTACGCACGTAATCCATACCATGGGGAACTGTTGCGTTGGGGACACAGGCAGGAGATGCTGGGAAGGAAAAGAGACTGCTGGATATTGCACTGACTGGGAGGAAGCCTGCAGCCCCTGGACAGACTGGAGGAAAGAAAACGCTGGTCAGGTCACAGGGAAGGACGGGGGGGTGGGGGTGGAATCCCACAGGAAGGCTGTCATGCGTGAAGGACACCACCCACCGCCCCTCGCATGTCCTCCGGGCTCAGTGTATTCCGGAGCAGGGAACCAGCCACCGAGTGAAAGTCAAGGCCATCGTCTGCTCAGAGTGAATGCTCCTCTGAGAAGGTGCTGCTGTATTTTCATGTTGTTAGTTAGATCCTCTGGGTCTAAAAATATGACCCCCAAATATTACCCAGAACCTTCTCTCATGTGGAGACTTGGCTATTTTTGACCCATCTGGTTAAGCTAGATAATAATGTAAGCCTGGAGTAATTTAAGAGGCAACAAACAAATCTGCTACCTTCAGGGAGATTTGCCAAATAACATCTGCCACCTTCAGAGACTAAGAAGTAAGGGGAAAACTATTTAAAACAAGGTTCCCTCTAGCAACTGACCTGTGACACTTCAGGTGTTCGTGGACATTGCCGTGTGTCACCCTAGACAATGGGGGGAGCTCTACATCTCTCTAAGGGGTGTGTGAATGGTCAGGTTGCCTTGGAATTAACTGATTTCTATTCTTGCCATTGATTAAAGAATTTAATACTGACTCTTTGCGGACATGAACACCACCTGTGTTGGGAATGGGTGAGCAAGATTCTATTGTCAAAGGCCTGGGTGGGAATGCAAGTTCAGTTCCCAAGAAAGGCTCCTCGATAGATAAAAGTAGCATCTAGACCTAAGAAAAAAACTTGTCAGTCACTCTCCTTAGTACTATCCACCCCCGCCGCCCGACCCCGCCAGGTAAGTCACTGGATGGGACACCTCTCTCTCTCTCAACTTAAGAATCCAGATGGAATCCTGTCCCCCTGCAACCACGGACTCTGGGCGGCCAGGTTTTGTTTCGGAGTGGCTGGTGGAGGTACCGATGGAGAACGTGCCCTCTTCCTGATGGAGCGTGACTCTGAGGCCTTCCCAGCTGCTCCTCACCTGAGTGACCAGCGTTCCTGCCATCTGCGGCTGCGGCGGCACCTGCTGCTGCGGCTGAGGAGAGGACTGCTGCCGGGGCTGCTGCTGCGACGGCCCCACCACGGCGCCGCGCAGGGGCTGCTGACTGCTGGGGGGGTTGTATATCGCAGGGCTTCCGTCGGGATTCACAAAGGGCTGGCCTGCAATGGAATCAGACTGTGGGCCCGGTGGGCCTCCGATCTCCCCTGTGCCAGAAAGAACCGCGCTGGTACATAACTTAAAAAACAACCTAAAGTCAAGGGGCACAGCGGTGGGAACCCGGGACACCTGAACCTTTACCTTGTGAAGACTGGTCTGCTTGTGATCCGGTTATCTAGGTAGTCACGTAAGCCCAGGGCAATTTAAGAAGCAGCAAATAAACCTCCCGCCTTCATGGAGATTTGTCAACGCTTGGTGCATCTGTGCACAGCGCACCCAGTGGAGAAGCAATCTTCACGGAGCCTTGTGCTTTGCTGCCCCATACCTTGCAGCCATCAGAGGGAATAACTCACACCCAGAGGGGGCTGTTTTCCTTTTATACAATTCCCGCTACGTTTGGTTACATGTTATTTACCGACTCTTTTTTTTACCTTCCCCTAGCCTCATCTTCAATTCAGTATCATTGTCGTTTCCACAGATACACACACACACACACACACACACAACAGAGCATACCACATCCACCCACTCGTTTCTCGGAATAGACACATGCAGGAGTATATGGGGGTTTAGATTTTAAAGGTCATCCATCATAAACTTATCACAGGATCATCTGGTAATAAGGCGAAGGGAAACACAGTGTTTTGCCCCTTGAAACAATGGTAGAGTTCATTTTTTATTGTTATTATTGTTTAGGGAGGATCTTAGAGTTTACAGAATAGTATTATTGGAGCCTCACCGTGACTCTGTGAGGAAGGAAGGAGTGACCTCCCCGTGTTTCAAGAGAGGAAATGAAGGCCCACCAGAAAGGTCATAGGAACAAGGAGCCGAAGGGAAGAGAGTCTGGGGCAGCAAGTGAAAGAGATGAAAGGGTGAAGAAAAGAAAGGTAAAGAAGAGAACAAAGAGGTTTCCAATGGGGCAGGCACAGTGGCAGGCACCTGATGTGCATATATTAGCTCTTACAACACCCCGCCGATAGGCAATCTTACCCGACTTTGGAGATAAGAAAAAAAATCTATTATATTCTATGTGACTTTCAACTTACCCCAGAAAAGTATGAAAAGCTGGTCATAATTGGGGTGAAAAACATAACTGCATAATATTCAATGTTCTTTTGATAAATTGTAGCTCCCCTGTTTGAAACATTATCAACATGCTGTGGACCAGAAGAAAGAACTATTTCTAAATAATTGCATGTGAAAAGTACTAAGAATTCACTTGGGGAGAGTAGAGATGGCAGGTTCTCCTGGAACGAGAAGCAAGTATGAAAGATTGAATTTTTGCTCACTAAGAAGAGGTAACAATAACTAAGGAAAATGAAAGAAGGAAGGTGGATGCTAGGAAAGAGAACAAGAAATTTCCTGAGAGAGTGCGGATGGGTGACCGCTGGTTTTCAAGTCAGGTAGTGATGGCGTCTCTGTGTTCTACCATTTCCACCAATCCAGGAGCAATTACCACTAAATACAAGCAATTAGTGTGAATGACAGCTGCTGGAGTCCAAAGGGGACAGCGAAACTTGGACTACCCAGCTTGGAAGAGGCTTTCAGGTCAGGAGCAACTCTAGCATGGCCTGCAGGCCCCGACCCATGGGCTGGCGCAGGTACAGAGAGCAGTTACAGAGGTACGCCAGCGCTGTGCGCTGAGCCAGGCAGAGGGAAAGACTTAATGCCAAGTGCTCATTCCTCTCAAATACATGATGTTAGGGGGAAAATCTCTCTCTTCTCCCTATCAACATGAATAATGTGCAATAGACATTAGTTTACTAATATATAATTATTGATCACCTGCACAGAGATGAAGACTTTGTTATCCATTCCAGGATGCAAAACAAAACAGAACAAAACAAAACACTCAACAAATTATGACCCCTCCCCTGAAAGAGCTTGCAAATGTGCTGGTAAAAAGAAAAAGAACCCATGGGCAATTGCCACAAGAAGCAAAGTAGTCATGTGCTCTTGGCTCCTAACACCAAAGCAAGACTGCCACATACTTGGTAGAAGGGTATTTATTTAAAAAGAAAGAAAGTGGGTGAGAAAAAGATTTTCCTTTTCTTGGTTTTTGAGGGCAATCAATCAAATTACAAGGGAGCTGTGGATTATGGATAGGCAAGGATTAATTCGGATCTTGCAGAGGTATGTTTATAGATATTATACAAAAACGTCATAGTCTATTTAAGAAAAGGTAGAAAGAGTTTGAATAAAGAGATGCTAGAAGTCCTGTGAAATATAAACAAGTATAGGGTCATAGAAGCCCGTCAGGACCATTTCAAAAAGAAGGGCCAATACCGTCACTCAGGCGGACATGCCTGAAGGCCTGCCCTTACATCACACACTCAGGGGTTTGCACCAGTCAAGGAAAAGCAAAATGGAATAACAACATACAGCAGGAATTAACGAGTACTTGGGGGATGCCAAAGGCTACTGGCATCTCTGGATGTTGAAAGAGAAGAGCCAAACAAAGATGAGTTTCTGCTAAAAATTTCCAAAAGGGTGTTAAATCCAAGACAACTGGGGAAAGATCAAAGAAAGTCAAGACTCAAACCAGCAGAGACTAAGCCTATACAGAGAGGTCACTTTGGAAAAGAGCTGCTGCAACAACTCACTCTTCCAGATCCTGAAAAATGAAGGAAAAAGGGGCCGAAGGCCCTCAGTTAGGAAGAGACCAGCTAAGTGCTGAGTCTACGGCCAGACAAAATTAAAAGCTGTGCCTATATTTGGAAAACTGCAAGAATATTTGTTCAAATATTTCATACTTAGTAAGAGACAAGTTAGTTGTGCTGATGAAGGGAGTTTCACTTTTGTTACATTTAGTAGACATGACTGGCAGGTACCCTCATGTTTTCAAATCATTGCTCGTCTTAATCCTGCTTGAGACAGATATTTCATCCATCGCAATTGTATACATAAGCCCCATCCTCACATATAAGGCACTAGATGAGAAACTGCTTGCTATCTACCTCAATATCTATAATGGGTAGTTGATAATATTTCCGTAATATGTAATTAATGAGCACCTGTGCCTAATTTGGTGCCTAAGGATACTCTGTTACCCATTCTAGGGAAGTAAAAAAAAATAGCCAAGTATGGTCCCTTCCCACAGGAGCTTATAGGTGTGCTGATAATAAGGAAGTGAGCCCAGGAATAGTTGACACAAGAAGCAAAGTAGTTATATGCTCTTGGTTCCTAACACCAATCCTTTCTACCACATATTTGGCACAGGATGAGAAGCATGGCTTTCAGGAGTTCACAGCAATGACAGAGAAAGATGAGTTTCAGCCCTAAGCAGGCAAATCTCCTGTTTCATTAGTTGGGTCTTATAAGAGATTAGATTAGATAGATAGATATTCACATGTACACACCACACACACACACACACATACATACATGTATGTGCATATTTTCCATTTATAAAAATAAGCACATTCTGTAAAAGAAGACACATCATAATTCGCCTTATATCTCCTTCTGGTCTATAGATATTTTTAATTTATTAATACATTTTCGTTCTGGTCTAGGGATATTTTAATGTCTAGCATTTGTCAGATCAGAGAAGTGTGTTTTGCAAAGCTGTTCCACAGTGTTATTAGATCCCATTTCTTAGTTAGGATCCTCTTTGAAAGGAAATATTTTGATAACAGCCCTAAATGACTCCATCAAATGAATAAGAATTGGGACTTGGCACCCGAAAGCACTGTCTTTCTCTTTCTGTAAACAAGATTACAGATGATAATATACACATACACATGCGTAGCCACACTATCATTACAAATAATATTCTTGTATTATATCCTAAAATACTCTGTTGTGCTTTTTTGAAACACTCTGCAATTTTGCTGAAAACAAACCACTCAAAACTAATGCTTAGTTTTGAGCTCTTGTCTGCAAGCTCTCCATCTCAATTAAAAGTGAAAGAATTTAAGCCAACAGAGTCAGATCATGCTTTGAACAGTGCCCAGAGTAATGAATGTGATCCTGGTTTTCTTTTAATTTCTTTTATAGTGCTTACGATGATCCAAATAAAATAAAAGCAATTTAATATTCTCCTTAGAAGTATCTAATCAGAAAGCTTTCAAATGGTTTTCAATAAAATGATTATGCCTTCTTTTCCCTGAAGCTGATGGCATTTTCAAAATGTCTCAATCAAACACCCTGCCTTGAGAATGTGCCATATGTTTTCATGAAAATGTGGCAATTATTCAAGTAACTATTTTACTATCATTCTTATGTTTCTCTGAATTTCCTAATTACTAGTGGCACTATATATGTGAGAAGATTGAGTCAGAACATTTTCATAAGATTCACATCAACTTTTGCATTTTCAAGTTTAGCCCATCAAAGAAATGCTCTGTGATAATCTACGCCCAACCTCAGATACATATTTGAGACAATTCAATCACTAGAAAGGCTTCTAAGGAAGTGGCTAGTCAATGTCAAATCTTCCAACCCACGGTTTCTCAACCACTGCACTACTAACATATTGGGCTGCGTAATCCTCTGTTGAAAGGAGCTGACCTGTGCATTGCACGGTGTTTAGTAGCATCTCTGGCCTCCACCTTCTTAGATGCCAATAGCAGTCCCCTCCTCTCTAGGTCATGATAATCAAAATGTCTGCAGATGTTGTCAACTGGCCTTCAGGTATGGGCAACATTGCCCTGCTTGAGAAGCCCCCCCATGAAGTAGATGTTCAACAATCTGTTGGCTCAATGCTATGGATCCTATAGAACCAGTATGGAAGTTAACTGACCCCTAGAGAAATTAAAAAATTAACAACCAATAGCCACTCACCTTTGAAGAAATCCCCACCAAATCCAGTCTAGGCCAAAAATCTCTAAAATACATAAGAATTTGCTCTCTGTATCCCTTTCACCATGGCTACTCCTTATTCTGCAGTAGGAGTTGGACGAAGTCGCAAGGTCAGAAAGCAATTTCTATAGTTACCAATCCACTATGTGTCCAATTAATAATCTCAAGTTCCTTAAATATTTTGGATGCAAAAACACTTTTAACATCATAATAGGCTACTCATGGATTCATTCTGAGAAACAAAGTTTTAATTAGCATGTCCTAGTTCATCACTCACTGATCTCTGATCTCAGTTCCTGGGAATACACGAGAAACTCTGTGGTCAGGGAAGAGAAAACAGAAAGAATAGTGGATATTTCCAGGAAGTATCTATATTTTTCTGTCTTTATCGATACTGATATCGATATGGAGATGTAGATTTTAGCAGTAGATCTGCTCCTTCTACATCTAGACTTTCCACAGCAGTTCATACCACAAGCTCTCCTGCTTAAGAATTTTCAAGAAATGCACTAGTAAAACCATAAAATTGAACACAAGAACAAATGCCAGACTTGAGTTCCTTCCAAAGCAGAGGTAATACACTAACCTGTGTGTGGATTAAGAAGGATGCTTCCCGGAGGGATGCCTGTTGCAGCTTCCAGTGGAAGGAGGATGTAGCTGGTGCTGCTGGAACCAACCTGGCCCCCCATTCCATTCTCTGGAAAGGGCACACAGCCAGGAGAACTGGCTGCCACACCTGAGACCAGGGGAGCACTCTGGAGAGGGGGGTGGGTGCGGGACAGCGATCCTGAGGAGCCTGCACTGCTGGACGACTCAGAACCTATCAGGGAGACATAAATCAGCACATCATTCAACACAGAGAAGCGGACAGAGGCCACAGCTCTGGGACTAAATGCTACTTTAAATAATCTGCCATTAAAGGATTTGAGGTGAATGCTGCAGGGAGAGAATAATTAATGCCTCTCCTACATTTTGGTCTCACATTTTATGGAACTATCTGCTACATATTTTTCTGATGTGTCAGCTTCCTGAAAGAGGAGAGATTAAGAATGAACACTCTCTTTTAGCCTTCTCACATGCTACCAGGATGATTAATTGGTAAATGGTAAACCATAGCTCTGAACTCAGTGCCTGAAAAGTTCTATTACCCTGGGTAATTAATGCAATGGAAATGTCTTACTGAGCTGGAGTTATGAGAATAAAATAGACATTCAAGAGACTGCAGTTTAAGAAGGATTCCTGTGATGTGCTGATCATGAGGTGATTCTAAAACACTTGTTCTCCATCATCCAAAGAGCTCAATTTTGAAGGTACAAAGTTGGCAATAATCTTTTCCCCCAGATCTGAGTAGAAGTAGATCATTCCTATTGGGAGTGTTTAAGATCTGTACCCTATTGCACATATTTGCAGAAATCTTATGAACACAGCCAAGAGTTGGACCAAGGAGGGTTTGGTCTTCATAAAAATGATGGAGCACCCTTCCGATGAAACAAAAATAAGGCCATTGGTGATGTTTGGGGACTGTGGATGTCTCAAACATGCAGGTAACTGGGTCAGTGTTCAGAAGCCCCCGAGCTGGATTCTAGCTGTAATCATCTCCTTCTCCGCTCTCTGGAGACAAAGAAAAACCTGCTACATCCCATGTCTGTTAGCTGCCCTTCACTGTAACCAAAGTCAAGCAGCTCCAGAGACCTTGACAATGGCTGTTCTGGGCATCAAATATTAACCAGAGCATCAGAGAGAAAATGCATCAACCAAAATTTCTGTACCTGTGAATTTAAACTAATAGATGGTTTAGATGATATCATAGATTGCAAGAATGCAATACAGTAAACTTTTACATTATTTACCCACAACTATTGACTTATGTCATTAAAAATGCATTCTTTCGTGTTATTAAAGGTTAACACATATAATGAATAGCTAACATCGTTTTCAAGACTCTAAAATGTACCTTAAGTTAAACTGGAAATATTTTAAAACGAGTGGTAAGCATACACCATGCAGTTGCAGGGAAGAGGGACTAGTGGGGAGTGATAATTTTTGAGAAGGAGGACAGTGATATTTCTTGAGCATTTAGTATGTGTGTGCACTTGGGTAAACACTAATAAGAAATACTGTCACTGCCTATAGAGATATGGGAATTGAAGCATGGAGAAGTTAGATAGGTCGAATTGACTTCCACAGCTAGCGAATGATAGAGCTAGGATTTTAACTTGACAGACTAATCTAGATTTAACCATGACCCACTGCCTCCTGAAAAGAAAGAAAGTATATGAATATAATGTGGACTGCTACGGTGTTCTCAGCTGGGAATTTTCTTTTTCCACAACTTGATTATTAATAATGACACCGTTTCAAGTTAATTCAGGATGTTCCATCTAACAAGTGAAAGAACTTACGAGGTTCTGAATAACATATGGGGAGAGAGATAAAGAATCTAAAAGGAATTTTGAAAATGCTAGGAGTAACTTTGAGACTGCATCAATGATATTATGATCCTGAAGTCATAGCCATAGTGCAAGTTGCAGAGTTTGAAGATTTGCTACATTTGATGTTACAGTTCAACTTTGACACTAGTACAGACCCAACAATAACAACAGTAGTAATACAATAAAACTTCCTTCCCCGAGACACGTAAGGTCCTACAAAAGGTATTATGCGCATGTCTCGGCTGAGGGGTTAGACAGGAGAGAGTTGGCGCCGATGAGGTATGCTGCAACTCTGATTTGAAAGTCAACTAGTGAGGACTTGGGAACCACCCCTTTGAAACGTGACCATCAAGAAAAATAGTGGCCTTGTCTGTCAGTGTCTATGGGAGGGTAAGAGCCTGACTTTGATTAATACCAACTAGCAGACACAGACAGATTAATAAAATTGACCAGTCACCTCTCTAAAGTCTAAGTCCTCCAGCACTCTTCCATTACTAACTGAAAACTCCCCTGCCTTTTGTTTCAGGTGGGTTGAGTTTAATTTTCCTTCCCAATTGCAATAGTCCTGACTCATATTACAATAGTTAAGAACAAAGTCTCCCTTGCCTGTTCAACTCATCTGTTACAATTTTTCTTCTTCTTTGGACCTCGAACCATACTTTATTTTGTCTGAATTCAAGAAAACATTTCTAGATCCAGGGGTCAGAGCTCAGTAGAATAACCTAAAGCTTCTGAAATTATAAGGTGGAAGAGAATATCCAGGATGCATTAGGGTAGTGGTGGAAGTAAACACACAGAAGAGGAACTGGCAGCTTGATACGGTGTCATTCACAGGCTTCAGAAATACTCTAATATGTAGACTAGGAAGGTGACAAAAAGAATACCCTTGCATCCAGAAAACAATATACCAGGCCATGTAAAAGTATTAGAACAAAGCAGAAGGCTCTCTTATTTCTCTGGGTCAGTTGCTCTCCAAGCACAGTTTCTGAACAAGCCATCTGTGCTTTAAGAACTCCTGATGCAGCTAAAGTTGAGAACCCCTGTTGTGGAGATCAAGAAGGAGGGATGACAGAAAAACAGTGGAGTTTAGGCCGTGTGGAGAGAAACAGATGCCGTCCTTTTGTTTTTTTCAACCACATCGCCACTACCAAGGAACTGCTGAGGTTGCATCCCAAGCACTGTCCCAGTTCTCCTAACAAGGAGGATGTCGTGACATAATAATGTCATCTATTCCCACCAGGTGTATGCTGGGTATCTGTTAGGTGACGATGTGCTCAGTGCGGGGGTGGGGGTGTGAGAGGGGAGATGCAATAGGGGAAAGACAGCCCAGGAAATGTGCTTGTGTGTTCAGACTTCAGTAACATGTTTTTCCCAAAATGTAGGAAAGCATTTCCCACTTGGAAAAAGCCTCATTACTATCTATGTAAAGCTCCAACCTCTGCAATTAAAGGAGGAGAAGAGTAACTTAAGTGCCACACTCTGAACTTGGTTTCTGAAAGATAAAAAGAAAGTTTGTGATTCCACTGTGTACAATGGGGTAAACAATTGGAAACTTGTGCTGTTCTAAAGTTTCATGACAGCGAGACTGTCAGCCTTGCTTCATAAAAACCATCTTGGGAAATTGTGAGTTAGTTTTGACACCCTAGCCTCATCTCCTTTTTTTTTTTTTTTTTGCTTTCCCTTCCTGCACCTTGACAAGCTTTCAAATGGATATACTTATGTTAAAAAAAAAAAAAAAAAGTCTGAAGCACTTACAATTTCTAACCATTCTTCAAAGAACATGGCGTTTTAGCATTCTTGAGGTGTTTTAAATGTTTCCAAAAGGCTTTGCTTTGGACATGACTGGGGGTTGCTGCCTGCAGATGACGATTAATTTAAAGACCCTAAGAGCTCCTTTGGTGTACTGGAATTTTCAAGTGCACCATTTAAGGTACTTGGTTTCTGCCTTTTAAGAAGATTTAAAACTATTGAACCTTTCTTAGTTTACAAGAGCTTAAGTGCACCACAGTGGATTTTCTTGACTTTAGTTGCTGCAATAGTGGAATATAAGAGCAATTAATTAGAGTTAGAAATCAAGAATTCTCCAGTTGATGAATAAAAATGACAGAAGGCAGTGCGAGCCCACCTGAATCTTTCCAGGAAGCAAGATGCATATATGTAAAGTAGTGACTATGACTAAATGTTATTAATTTTCTGCCTATGTAGGGAAACATGAGGTAATTTCTCAGGAGGCGTTTGTCAACAACATAATTATGTTAAACTCTTAGCATAATGAGCCTCAATTTCATAGAATCCCGTTTAGCGTGAATGATGCTTGGTTGGGAAAGTATTCACAGTCTAGGGGAGCCCATGTTTAACTTCTGGCTGGTGGTGTCCTTGCATCTTTCCCCTCCTGGCCCTGGCCTCCCATTCCCCTGCGGCCCCCGGCCATGAATGCACCGCCAGTGCATTGTACCTCACTGGCAGAATCACAAACACTCACCCCCAGCCTGGCTGAGACTCAAGGCCGCTGAACTTCTGAAGCAAAACTAAAACTAAAAAAACAATGACAGTATTCACTAAACTAAAATGGTGATGGAAAGAGACTTGACCTGGCTGGTGAACACACGATGCAGTATACAGATGATGTATTATAGACTTGTACACCTGAAAACTATATAGTTTTACTAACCAACGACATCCCAATAAATTCAATTAAAATAATAATAAATATATAAATAAAAGTAAAAACTTAAGTTAGTGGAGTGCTACTGAAGGGTAATCTGTAACCTTCCTGGGAGTATATGAGATATTTTAATCATAAACATTTGAAAGTAGTTTGTAAACAATGGTGAGGAATTCTTGGGAGACAGAACAGCTAATATGAACCCCGTGGTGTTGGTGTTTCCATCAGTTTAAAGTTGTTTCACATTAATGGTTCTAGATCTCTCATCATCATGAACTCCCAAAGACTGTCCGTGCAAACTTGAACTACCAAACTCAAAAGATCACTATTCACTAGGAAGGAGAAAAAAAAAACCAAAACAGATGCATGAACCTGGCTACTTGGAAACTCTAAACCTTTTGAGGGCCACTTTCCTTATCTGCAACGCAAGGATGGAACATTAAATGGCAATAATAAAAATAAACAAGAACTGGTGTTTACTGAGGGCTAATAACTTGCCAGGTATTGCTTTGAGTATATTAACTCTCGGTCTTAACAAGAACTTTGCAATATTGGTGCCATTATCACCCCTTTTCTCAGACGGGGAAACTGAGGCACAAAGAGGTTAACTTAACTTGCCTAGGATCTTACAAACAATATGACAAAACAGGAACGGAAACTACTAATATCCTAATTACCTTACAATGTGGTTTTAAGAAATAACTCAGAGTATTAACTTTTTAAAAAGCTAAAATACTTTTTACCTTTGTAAAATAGTCACCCTGTGCATGGCCTCAGCAGCCATTTTTATATCAGTGATTGAAGGTAAACCTACAGTAGTCTACTGAGGAGTGTTAGAGTAATGTTCTAGTACCACCTGCATTTTATGCATAAGGAAACTGGAGATTAGAGGGGTTAATAGTTGGATTTAGACTCACAGCTGGCACGAGGCAGTATTGGTATTTAAACTGTACCTTCCGACCTCAGTCTATCCCAGTAACTAATATCGCCATCATTAGTTCACTCAAAGTCCGAGGGAACATGGACTGTGCAGCTTGGGCAGAATTCAGAAAATGCCACAGGACTTAAACCCCTTCAGTACTAACTACCTGCTTTGGACAGCCTCCCGGTACTCCTGGTACTGGACGTGCTGTCGCCCCTGGTCAGCACCGTGATGCCCCCAAAACTCGCCGTCTTGGTCATGGCGGGCTTGAGATTGCGGTTGGAGCTGTCAGAGTCTGTGCTGCTCCAGGCCCGCTGGTGGTCGGACCACTTGAGTTCGTTCTCCGAGCTGCTCTGCCGGCTCCCGGACGTTCTCCCTGAGCCATCTCTGTTGCCCCTGGAGCAGGGCCATCAGAAAAATGCACAGGGACAGTATTACATTCCATGAGCAGTGTGGGCCTCGGGCGGGAACGTTTCCGGAAGAGCCGCCTACCAGGGACCCTTCTCGTCCACCCTTTCCATTAAACCTGTTGCCTCACAAAGAGTGCCACAAATACCTCATTCATGTGCAGACGGGTAACACATCACACTGAACACTCATGTTACAAAGAGGGAAAACAACAAGCCTAGAAATGTCACATGGTCCCTCTGCCAGTGAAGGAGAAACAACTAGAAAAACATGGTAGAAAATATAATTGTAAACTTCTGTTGTGAACAGGAGGGAAGATAAATTCTCCTGACCCAAGTCAACAATAAATCAATATTTGGAAACGCTTATGATCTTGAATGATACTAAAAGCAACTCTCGCTGAAGAAGAGAATGTTGTCTCTCCCTTCAGCAATTAGAAACTGGACTATGGGGAAATGACGCAGTTCCAGAAAAGCCATTTGTTAATTTATTTTCTAAGCTTATGAGCTATACATCTGAATTCATGAAGGATCTGACAGACAGCACAGAAATCACAAAAATTACTGTGTTAACCTCCGGTGAGAATTTTGCCCAGTGAGTTTAACCTTCATGGGCAGAGGAAAAGCCTTTCAATCCTGGCGTTGTGATAATAACAACGGTGTAAACACTACACTGACATGAAACATTTCAAGGGGATCGATGGAAATAATGAAAAAACGCTCCTTAGGTGAAATCACACATTTGTTCAAAATTCAAATAGAAACAGTAAATGTATTGGAAGAGAGCCAATAGCCAGAAATGAAGTTTGAAGACTCTGGAGAACCTCTAAGCAGTGTGCAAAACTCTATGTCATCTTTCCTAGAGAAAGGGGATGAAATTTGCATTTTCATTGGTTTTGTAAAGAGTATCTTAGTTAATATTTTCAAAGCTTTTTCTGCAGTTGGAAATAGTTCATTAAAATAGTCTTAGATTCTCATGGATTATTAATAAGTAGAGAAGACATAAATCAAAGGCAATAGATATAACCCCAATTTTCATATCACTATGCAATGTGACATACCCGATCTTGATCCAAATCTCGCACATGTGAGCAGTAGCTTTGCTAATAAATATTCTTCTAAAGACAATAACGAACTGTTGAGATGCTGGACGTACGCATATCTGATTGAAATATGCACCAACCAAATTGTAAAGAGGGTGCACAGACAATTTCAGGTTTTACTTCAACTTTGCTTACTCAACTTTTTCTTTTATCACATGAAAACGGAAGAAGGCAAATGGGCCTGAAGATAATAAAAATGAAATCGCTTATCTGTGCTAGGAACTTCGAAGAGTGGGGGGAGGAAGTGGAGCAGAAAACTCATAAGACAAGAAGCACTCAGTGCCCTCCTGTCATTTGTCAACATTTTCTTACAAACATTCTATTCTCAGGACCTCAGGATGGCTGGTTTTAGAAACAAGGACCATCTCAAAAAAGACAAGGCTGAGAGGAAGTATCAAACCCCTCAGCAATAGCCAGGAGACTTTAGTTCTTAAGCTCCTTTGGAATTTAAGAAAGCCAGAGGAGGTGGCCTGGAGAAAAACTACATTTAAAAAAAAAAAAGATTTTATTTATTTACTTTTAGAGAGGGAAAGGGAGGGAGAAAGAGAAGGAGAGAAATATCAATGTGTGGCTGCCTCTCATGTGCTCCCTACTGGGGACCTGGCCTGCAACCCAGGCATGTGTCCTAGACTTGGAATCAAACCAGTGACTCTTTGGTTCACAGGCTGGCACTCAGTCCACTGAGCCACACCAGCCAGGGCAAAAAACTACTCTTTTCTACTGGAAAGATTAGCCATTTTTCCTTTTCTGATGGATTCTGATGAATCCTCTCTTTTAATCTCCAAATTCGATTTCATTCTTTCCCCATTCCATTCTGATGAATTTGACTCATCTTCGACAAAGTCTGCCTAAATATTATTTAGCAACTGTAAATGTACAAAGAATGTGACAATTATCTCAGTTGTAGCTAATTTGGAATGTTTATTATAGGAAAAGATTTGGGGTGGTTCTTACCTCAACATATGGGATGTGTCAGAAGGAAGCTGTCCATGTTGGTGGGGATTATAACTGATTCTGCTTCAGCAGTCCCTAGCCCCATGAACTCTGCATTTCCCTGGGAGGAATCTAGACCTCCTTTAAATGCCAGTGTGGCTGGGCCTTTGTCTGCAAAGGAGGTATCCACCTCTATCCCTAGGTGCTAGCCAGGGTGCTACAGTCTGCACCCTTCACTCTGACAGAGCCCTGTCTAGACACTGGGTAGTTCCTCTAGACTTGGGTCACAGCCTCTGGCCAAGCAGGCAACCTAAGATTTCTTTAACTTCCTCTACTTCCACTGCACCAATTCCAATCATCATCCTACATCAAAATCTGTGCATGGCAAAAGAAGAAGTTTAAATTGCTGCTTTAGACACTTCTCGTTAATGAAATTCAAAACAATACATCTAATTCTAATTTATGATCTCTACATATTTACATATTGAAATTGTATTTTATAATGCTCTACCCACTGATTATTCTCCTTAACACGGGCAAGGGGAAATCTAGAATTGAATTTCATATCTATTTGGGTGTGGCATCATAAGAATCATTTTGAAAATATCCCCCAGTGCCTTTCTGTCCCACCTAAGTCCAGTCCTGGTCCCCTACTACTGAAGCCAGGGAGCCAATGGTAATGAGATGGCTGGTCAAGATGAGGAGTTGGCCGCCTTGTGCTTAACTAGAGATTGATCTTAGAGCTAATATAAAGCACATACTCTAAGTTCTGTTTCTGTGCTGATTAATATAACTCATGATCTTTATTTTACTTTTTGTCTGAAGATGACATTTTTTTTTAACCCAAGGTAGATATGACATACACTTTGAATTTTTTTTTTTAGCATTTTGTGAATGGCTTTGTGCTAAATCATTGTCCTGAGTCTCTGTGCTTGATGATTTTGGTCGGCAATGGTGTCCAGATTTAGGATGGCTGTCCTGAGTAGATGGTAGCTCTGGCTAGGGACCAGATTTAGGGCTATGTAAAACTAACTGGCCAATAAGGGGCAAAACCCACATTTCCTCTATATTGCCTGAGCAAATCAGACCATGATATGTGAGTGTAGGAGTACTGGTAAGTTCTAGTCCTTTGGGCTTTCAAAGAAAAAACAATGCAAGGTTATTTTTTTTTTAATCTTCAAGTGTGAAAAGTATCTAATAATACAAGGGGACGGCATTAGACTATGTAGTTCAACTTAGAAATATGAAGGAAGTTAAAAAAGATCCTGTTTTTTTTTTTTGTTTCCTCCAAAGTGTAAAGGGAACAAATTACCTCGTCTAATGATAAGGTCTTAAGTTCAGATTTACTACAAAGCAAAACAAAACAAAACAAAACACCTCTCTAAGCACATAATCTATTTAATTTTCTTGGTAACTTTTTTCTTCTAAGTAGGCAAGAGTTTTGTTTGTGTGTTTCTTTTGACTATCCTAAAAAGAGATGAATCCTAATGTTCAGAAAAGCACTAACATGTTAATATATGGATTAGGTATATATTTGTTTCAAAATGAATGCTAGAGATACATTTGATATAGTGAGAAGATGGGTATGATCCCTCTGCTTTCATGGAGCTTCCAGCATAGTTTAAAACTTAAAAATATATTATATTATTATAATTATAGTTAGTAAATTATAATAATTATATAATATAATTTAATATTATATATTATAGATTTATATATATGCTTCTATATATACATATCACCCATTACCCATATCCCACAAAGATCTTGACTTAAATAGTTCATTTTAGTTGAGCTCATATTTTCCTTTAGAAATAAAATCTGTGCTTAAGTAAACACTATTTGAAATACTATGATGGATAGTAGTAGCTAAAAATCAAGTACTCAAATAGAGTTATAATTGATTTATTTCTGGTGTTGGAAAATATATACACAATTGCAACCTAAGAGAAATTTTAACTCTGTAATTCACTGATGTTAATTTGGGAATGTTAAATCAGTATGCTTCCGAAGCTAGCCCTTGAGAAGGAAGGAGGAAGGAAGGAAGGAAGGAAGGAAGGAAGGAAGGAAGGAAGGAAGGAAGGGGAAAATCAGGAAAAGAACTCTAAAGAATTGTATCCAAAGTAATGTTCTCTCAGTCCTGTATCTTACATTATCCAATATGGCTTCAATGCCAGCTCTGTAACAAGCTTTACAAAGAGATAACTGAACACATTTTAGTTCATGAACAGAGATATTTTACACTAATACACTTAAATTTAACATTGATTTTTGCCACATAATCTGAAAACACAGTTTTAAAAAAGTAAACCATACCAACCGAAAGAGCTGTCTTTTCTTATAGGTCTCATTGCATATGCTACTGTCTTCCAAGAGCCTACTGGAAATGAAAAACATGATTTTTATGATATAAAACCTAAGGGTAATAAATGGATGTGTATCCTACTATAACACAGCTGTCTTGCAGATCAACCCCATATGTAGTTTTCTTTGCATGACATTGAATTTTGCCATAATAAATGAATGGGAACATGATTTTTCCCTACCCCAAGATTCGAACACTGATGCTGGGATAAGGGAGAAGGAAGAGATGAGGAAATAGAGGGAATGGAAGAGCTGAGGAGAAGAAAGAAATACATATAGATAAAATAGATATTTAATTCAATATATAAGTTGTAATTTTTTTCTTTGAGTAATATTAAAGTTATTCCTTATTTCTTGAGCATAGTGAAATATTGACATTCCAAAGGCAAGTGTCCACGGAATAAATTTATTTTTGTAAGGAATTCACTCAATTAAATTTTCACTTTATGGGAAGGCTTGTTCTTATACATAACTCATATATGTGACCAGTCATTGTATTGATGAATAAGATATAATTTGAATATAAGTGACACAAGAGCATCAGCAGTCTTTTGTACAAAACCCAAGTAAATGAATAAAAGCAGAGAGTAAAATAGAGAAAAATGACTGGCGAGAAGACTAGGGAATACGATTTCTCACTAAACTAAAGTATAAATGTCCACTTAATCTTTTTGGTAAGGATAACATTTTGGAAATGTTCAGAATCATCCCTAAGATGCTAGTGCTTGTGGATTTTTAACTTTACTGTAAAATGAGGAATACTAGTCTGAATCTGAGTGGGGTTTTTTTTTTTAGCCTTTTTAATGTTTTCTTTTTTTATTGTATTTTTTTTCATTTAGTCCCCTTATACCTCCTCCCCGCACCCCTCCACTGTCCCCACACTATTGTCCATGTCCATGAGTCCGTTTCCCTTTTGAATGCCTCACGTAGTCTTGTTTTCTAATTTTATGTCTTCTAAAACAAGTCCATTCAATTGAGGGACTTAGTTACTTAAAGATTTCTAATTGCTAATATCAATGATGGCATTTTTCCCACCGATCATTTCTAATGACCGGTTTAAACTTTCTCTAAGTACTGGAATTTAATCAAACAGCCTACACTTTAATCAATTTATACGGACCGCCCATTAAGCTGACACATGATGTAAAATTAACCACCACTTTTAAAATGAATGCCATATTTTCATTCCAAGTTGCCCATTAGTAGAGCAAATGTAGAACTCCTAATTCCCCTTAAAAATCTGCAATTAAATCAATGGAGCATTTTAATACCTATATCAGCTTAGAACTATTCAAAAAAGGTATATATTAAATTTGAAAAATTTCTGCTCTTATGCTCAAGACTTTGTGTAAATTTTATAACCCATTCATTTCACAGCAATCACCTCCTCCTACTAACTCCCAAGCCAGGTGTACTGTTAAATCCAGACCAGTTTAGATAAGATTTTCAAGTTAGGCCTTTTATAAAGGCTGGTAGGTTATTTAAAATGAGAAACTTAACCCAACATTATTCAAATTATTATTTGAATAGCTATATATAATTAGTGAGCACAAGAAGCAGTTAATACAAAATATACAAGTACTTTTAGCAGCCTATTCAATAAGCCAATGAAACTGCAAGTTCCTGTGTGGTCTCAATTTGTACACTTTTAATGCCTGATGAACGTAACAGGAATTAACAACTATTGGAAGAACCAGAAGTTGAGACTTTAAAGAGGGGAAACATTTATACTCATGTTTGGAAGTAACTGAGAGAAGTTTTTCCCTCAATCAAATAATTATTAGACATGCTAAATAACATATGTGTGCATATATAGGTGTGTACACACAAATATATGTATTTACTTATACATATATTCAAGCATGCACTTATATATGGAATATATATATCTATGAATGTACAGGACACACATGACACACTTTGTTCCTCTAAAGACATGAAAAAGCAAATTTCATTTTACCTGTTTTCCACAAAAAGGCTTTCCTGGGAGCAAACTGACTGAAAAATAAAAGAAAGGCATTGTATCAGACGTTCTGGATATGTTGAGGGATTCCCAAATCCTTGCCTGATTTTAAAACTACTTTTCCCCTCCAAGGGAAAAAAAGATTAAGAAAAATAGGTACCATTTTTAGAAAAAATGGAAATAAAAAAGGGAAAAACTAGGTTAGAGGTAGGATGGAAACCATTCTCATCATGCAGCGCACAGTACTTTTCCATCAGAGCACCTCCAGGATTCAAAGAGATTGAGCCCGTTCGGCATCAAGGTCAGGAGAAGAGAGACGTGAATGAAACTGCGGGAGAAACGTGGGGCGCTCAGGTCCCGAGCTAGCACTTTCCTCTGGGGCTGCGGAGATGCTGCCACCAAGAGCCCAAAAGTCAGGTTCAAAGCAAGGCAGCGCGTGCGAGCCTGGCACGACCCCCGCCGGGGACGGGGGAGCACAATGTCACAGTCCTGCATTTATTACCGGGCAATGACAGACTCTCCCAAAAGAAACAGATGGATGGCAAGACTCTCCAAAATGAAGAGATGCCATCCATCATTCCTAAGGTGGGGTTGGGGTGGGGGGTGCAGAAGACAGGTGAAAACAAAATGAAGCTAATTTTTAAAAAAATAATAAAAAGTCACACTCCATCTAAGATTTCTTAGTTTTTCACAGAGAAAACCAAATTACTTTCTTCTTAGTTTTCATCCCCCTAGTATTCATTTCTCTACTTTCCTGTATTTATACACAACACAGGGAAGATAAAATTTCATTATCATTACATGAGGGAGAAGGGCAGATCAAATTAAATTTTAGCAAACAGAAGAACGGAAGCCCGAACAAAATGTGGTGCAATGGTCCTATCATACAGTGACTGTATTGAGGAATGCACATAAAACCATTTTCAAAGTACTGCTTCTAAACATAAATTTATACACCATATTATAGTGCAGAGTTCCTAAATGATGAATAAGTGACCTGCAAAAGGAATAAACACAGACTTAACAGGTCCATTTTAAGATAAAATAAAACTAACGAAATAATAATGACCTTTCAATATCAAGTTCTTGAATTCAAAGATGCCGTTAATGTAACCACTGCTCACTGAGGCAAGCAGGATATTGGTTTCTCCTTCCTTGTTACTGGAGGAATCATTTCCTTCCACTAAGCCTGAAGGCTAAATTTGGGCATAACATTTTTCTCAGTGGTCTGAGCATTTCAGTGAGGGTGTCTCTAAGAACCACTCCTATTTTAACCTCTGTGCCTTTAATAGGCATCCTCAACAGCAAGTATAGTGTGCCAAAACTTTATTTAACAAAAAGCCAAAACTTTACTCAATTACAAAAAAAAAGCTTTCCAGAAAATCTTTTTTATTTGACATTGAATTTTATAAAGGGAAGCAAATACAAAAGATATGCCACCCATGTTATTCCTATGAAGGTCAGTTTACAGTACAAAAATGTCTTACTGTCTATTTCCTTTAGTTTGGATTTGCTTCTCGGTTGAGTCAAGACATAGTAAGTGAAAGGAAGTGATATTATCTCAGAGATACACTATGAGTTCAGTTCTTTAGTGCCTCTCAGCTCTTGTCATTGCAAAGAGGTCAGTTACATTTAGAATGTTCTGGCTGGGTTTTGGAATTACTGAGACTCAACCACTGATCTGAAGGAGCTGATCAAAGACATTCTGACCTCTTCACACTCGTGAATCTAATAGCATTCTAGGAATACTTAAGCAGCCCAAACTCTTTGGGTTAAAAAAAATTACAGCACCCATAGGTCAAAAATAACTTTCCCCAAAACATACCTCAGGGCTTTTTGTCTGATTTTTGTGGGAAGGGCATAAAAAAATCATCTCATCATCCCTCCACCACATTTTTATAAATAAGAGAAAAATGGTTATAGGCCGTGATTCAGTAATGGATGATTATAAACGTTAAAAATAAGTAGTATTAATAACTTGCACATTTTAATAGCAGAAAAAGATAAAATTGTCACAGGAATTAATGCAGCATTCAAAGTTGTCACGCACTCTCAGATATAAAGGGCTCATTTTTTTTTTAAGGAGATGATTTTGCCTAATGGGTTGCCGAATTCTCTCCCACGTCCTACCCCCAATCCAGGCGGCAGGCACCACGTGCCCTTATCAGTTCTCACTGAGGAGGAACCTGAGTACATTCAAAAACAAAATAAAACAAAAAAAACACCTGGATGAGCTCCTCCCTGAGTCCCTGTTTACACATAAATATTCTTCAGAAATTATCTTCCAGGCAAAACATAGCCTCTTTACAAACATTGCTTTATCAACTTAACCTTCCTCAAACTAGCAACAGTTGCATAGGATCAATCATAAAACAAGCGGAAGCAAACAAAAGTTGTATTTCAAATACTTCTGATTCCCAAACTATATTTATTTATTCTTTGAGAACTAAATTTTTGTGTGCTCTGACTTACAATAATTTAGTTCTCAAATAATGAATAAATTTGTCTTATCTCAAGATACCAAAATTCTCAAATTAAATTTGAAAATTGTTTTCTAGGAAACCCAAAGTAACCAGCATATTTTGATTGTGCACCTACGTACAAAAGCACACACACAAACACCTTAGCCATCAAGATACGTTTCATTTGTAAACTGTCAAGAACACATCAAATTTTAAAATAAATTTGAATTTTGCTAAAGTGTAAATACCAAGAAGTACTTCTCTATTATTTCCTATTGTAACCTCAAGTAGAAAAAAAAAATGCTGCATAAGTATATAAATATTTCAAACTATTTGAATGATTACTACTTAATAATTAGCAAGGAAAACTGGCTTTATCATCTCATTTTCAATTATGAAAACACTAAATTAAAGACCAGCTAAGAAAAAGATTAGATATCTGTAACATAGTTTCCTTATGCTGGATTCTTTGCATTTGTTTTACAATTGACTTCATCAAGTTTAATTATCTCGTGGATCTCAACAGTCTGGGCAGTAGCAATGGTTACATGGGAATCTAGAACAGTGCAGATGAAGGTTCGCTAAATGGTCCTGTCTGTATAAGTAATAGGAGGATCTGCTGTTATATGTATTTAAGAAAGTTCATGCTGCTGTTATGTCCTTGAGTTTGTGTTAACAGAGGAAGGCACAGTGATATCCTGCTTAACTCATGGTGACCCCACCGATCCCCACCTCGTGGTTTTCACTTCCTGTAAAGTATCCCTCTCACATTGCACCAGGGCCGGAGTGCATATCCTACAGAATACAACAGAAGGGAAGGCATGCCGCTTCTAGGATTAGGTTATAAAAGACTGTGTCTTCCATCGCGGGCCCTCTGTCTTCCTCTCTTGGATCACTTGCACAGAGGGAAGCTTGTTGCCATGTCTTACAGACGCTCACCAGCCGATGGAGAGGCCCACGTGGTAAGAACTCTGATCTGCAGCCTATACCAGCAAGGAGCTGGCGCCTTCCCATACGCGAGTGAGTTTGGAAACAGATAACCTCACCGTCTTGCTGAGCTTCAGAAACTGAGGCTCCAACGGACTGCTAGACAGGACCTCTTAAAAGACCTTGAGCCAGAATCTCTTGGCTGAGCCACACCCAGATTCCCGACCCTTGGAAACTGTGAGCAAAGCAGTATTGTTTTGTTTTGTTTTAAGCTGACAAATTTGGGGATTATTTTGATGCATCAGTAAATAACTAGAATAGGGAACACAGGCAGTATCCCTCCGTCGCCTCTCTGGAGCTATCGGGCGAGGGAGGGAGACACTGTGCATTTTTTCCTCCCTCTGGAAAGGCGCCGCTTAGCCTTTCAAGATAATGAAAAGTTATAAGAAAAAAAAAAAAAACACCAGAGACCTTTTCTGTAGAAAAATTCACATCTGCTCATGAACATAATATTTTGTAGATGATGTCTGGGATTTTACTGAATCTTTGAGGCCCTTCTGTGAGTGTCCTCTGGGAGTGTGGATGCCTACTGAAATCCCCATGCCCCAAGGGACTGGGTGGTAAGTCACGTCAGAAACAAGCTTGGATCAGTAAAGCCAGAAATGGAAATGTGGGCCACCGGAGAACCTAGCAAAGGAGCTCACGCCTCTGCTTCCGCAGAGAAAAGGGCCACGGCCTTTTGAAGAAAGCTGTCAAATGCTTTCATGGACCAGGCTAGCTGCAGCAATAGCTTGGCATTGATGCTTTCTCACATTTAAGTTTGCTTTCACTTTTAAAAAAAAAATCTTAACATAGCATGTGGCCCTAGAGGCTCTAAACAGCAACAACTGCCTCCAATCTTTACCCTGGGACTCCGGTCCCTTCCTGGTAATCTCCTTAACAGGGTTGTGGGGAAGTCATGTGGACCCCGGTCCCGGTAATGACCTCTCTGCAGACGCGGGAAGCTACAGTGAAGGACAGCAGCCTCAGGGCCACCCTCCCCACAGGCAGGCATCAGCAATGTGACTTTCTGTCCCTGAGCTCTGAGTGGTTGGCAATCTGGCACAACTTTGTGGAGAAAAAAAGCATAATGTTGTTTGTACATTATCTAGGTGATTGGTATTTGCTTTTGAATATAACAACTCGTTCATAAATTGTATGGCTTGCCAAACCCAAAGTAAAGAGGGGAAACGTGTGTGTGTGTGTGTGTGTGTATGAGTGAGAGTGTGTGTGTGAGAGAGAGAAAGAGAGGGGTGGGGAGAGAGAGAGAATAAAAAATGAACTGGCCTTCAGAGAAGTTTCTCTTCATGAAGGTCGCCGGACAAGAACATGCAGCGTGCAGTCCACAGGGGGCATCCTTACGCTACCACAACTAGCAGAGATCCTCTCATTCCTTCGTTCTGGTATCCAGCAAACACACCTGAAGGCCTTCCAGGTGTCAGGCTGCACCAGCAATAAGTCTGACCATGACAACAATCTAAGTAGTCCACACAGGCAGAGAATCTTCCAGAATTGTACCGAACCTCATCCAACTGTGGCTGCCTTCATCTTCCTCTCTCCCACTCTCTTCATTTCAGAGCTCTGAGCCAGATTAGTCAATCATCAGCACTTGATTTTAACGTATCCAAGGAAGGCAGAGAGGATCTGGAGAGATACCAGAAGGCTGTGCAAAGGGGAAGACAGTGCAGACGGCTGCTTCCTCTGCAGCCTTGTCTTAAGGGATCCAGCACCCACTGCAGGATGGGGGAAGCTGGCTTGCACGTGAAGCCTCTGAGGGCAGCAGTCCTACTCCCCACCAAGCAGTGAAGTCTAGCTCATGAGCTGGCTCTGCACTAGCCTCAGGAGCAAATCCTGGCAAGAGGTGAGAAGCCCCACGTGACCTGGTAGATCTGGCAGTGCCGGCCATAGACTGTGCAAAGGAACTCACATCTCTACTTCTGCAGAAGGAAGAGCCCAGCCTTTTAGGAGGCCGCCAAAAATGATCTCATGAAATAGAACAGCGAAGGCAATCACTTGCCCTTTTCGTTTTCTTCCATTTAAGTCCAGCCTTTTTTTTTTTTTTTGCTTGTTGATTTTTTATGTAATTTAATAGCATTTTATTTTGATCACTGTGGGTAACAGGATACAAAAAAAAAAAAAAAAAAATCCCTACCACGTCTTATTTGCAGGGATTTGAACAAAAACAAAATTAGCTTATTTTATCACTATTCTCTTGAGAATTGTTTCCAACACTAATTTGATCTGAAATTGAGGGGGAAATGTGTACTGTTATTTAACACCGACATAATAAAAGGCTCACACTTGCTAAGAATGCAGAAGATTCTGTGTGTGTCATTGGTAGACTCTTCTTTCTGTTTTGTAATTGCACTGCGCAATGTTGATATGGAAAAGACAACAGTGTGCTCTCTGCTGGCTAATATGGACGTGAAGGCATTTCTTCAAATCTGGCAACCTGTCTCTGTACTTATGGTCTATTTAACTGACCCAAATTGTACCTCAGTTCCCACTCAGGTCACATCCTAGAACACACGCAAACCCCTGGCTACCTTTCCATCACTTCCCTGAACTGGGGCCTCTTCCAGAAACACCTCTGGTTTGCTGCAGTTCCATTTGTTCCCTGGCTCTGGCTCCCTTGGTCCCTGCCAGCTCACTGTCTGGGGAACGAGGCTGCCTTACTGCTGACGGAAGGACCGCACTAAAGAGGCAATTAAAACAACTACTCACATCGTGTGCAAATATTCTCTCCCTCACTCTCTGATATTCCTCTTCTCTCTCTTCAATTGATTTACTTCGTCTGTCATCTCTAAATGGATGCATTCTGTTTTGCTGAACAGAAAAAAGAAATCAGGAGGGTTATCCAAGTTGCACTGTTAGAAGTCTGCGGTTAAGCAACTGTCAGCTAAGGGTGATAAATGTTCACTTAAACAAATGGGGCATGAAAAGTCTCACTCCCTCTGGTCCCTGAGGAAGCCGTGGTGGGGGGTACGTGTGTGCTGAGTGCGCATGACATGCAATGCCAGGACATGGCTGCTGCTCCTGGTTGCCTCCTCGCTGGATGCAAAGTCGCATGGGTGTTTCTGGAATGGAAGTACCTGGATGTGCCTCAGGTGTTCAGCCAGTTCAGCTCTGTGTTAGTTCACCAGCGAGGGACTCTGTCTCCTTTGCTAACCTGTATGATTTTGATTTCTCAGAAGGAGGCAGGATGTTGGTTAAAAAAAAGAAGTGGTGGCTACATCAAGGTGGTGGCTCCGGGATGAAACTGCTTAGAAAACTTGGGGTCTCCAGAAACATAGCAGTGGAGTCAAGAAATGATGAGTGGGAAGGAAGATGTGGACACTATGGCTCTATATCCTCATCTTTTTATTCGCTCAATGACATTGCATCTGGCATTTGAATTAAATTTGAAAGGTGTTTGTTGATCAGAGTCAATATCAAGAAATGGAAGGTAACAATTCAAAGAAACCAGCATGAGGACTGCTCTTCTTCATCCTTTCATCTGAACCACGTCCTGCTTCTCCGCTACCCTCCCAACTTCCTCCGGCCACTCCTCACGAAATGCTCTGCCCTAGCCATGTTCATCCATCCATTCAACAGACACCCACTAAGTGCACGACGCCGGCACGTTCCAGAGTCTGCGCGAGCCACGGTGGAGCTCAGTGGTGGTGGGAGGAAATGAGATACAAATGATGAACAGGTCTTTTTTTTTTTTTTAAGTGTGTCACAGATGCACATACTGCCTTTCAGTGACTCATTGAGAGTAATTAAAATAACAACTTGAGTGAGATGCTTATTATCTTGCCCTTAAGAATTTTAAAGCAAAGTCATCTTCCAAAAAATCTATTTTGATTGTCAGAGACACAGAGTGTCACGGCACTTTGTGACTTTCTACTGTTCTTATTCTCATGCAAAACTTGTTTTCTTGCCATTTACTCAGTTTTCTTCCTAACAGACCTGGATCCCACATCCCCACGTGGAGAAGAAATTTAGTAAGATATCTCTACCCTTATTGAGGTACCATGAGTCAGGCTACTCTACAACAACACAATGTTTTATCACAAGCGAAATACACAGAAAGAAGAGAGTTGTGCTACAGTTCATGCAAAACAAGCAGACAATTTACACGCACAATAAAACATGGGAAGGAGGAGGGCGGGGAGACTAAAACATGAACTTGATTCTTTCGTGTGAAGACTTATTATTGTAGGATAGTTGCAAAATCCACCTGTCCTCACCATAACAAGGTTTGTTCTTTACAGCTACACCAGGTGATCATCGGTCCATTTTGATAATCCAGCTCAATTTGTGCACAACTGAAGGACAACGCTGTAGGGAGTGGAACGACTGCCATAGTTACACAGACATCTGGAAATGCGACTGACAAAGCTTTTCCCGACAGCTCGCAGCCTGCGGCACCCCAACCCGCCAACACATGCAGCAGGAACTGCGCCAAGCACCACCCATGCAGCCCAATACAGAGCCATCGCTAAAGCAACAAGGACGTGGGTTTTTGGCTTCCCATTGAATGCCAAAGGGGGAGGCAAGGCGGGCAAGGAGGCTGGAGAGAGGACGGTAGTATCAGAGGCAGGGGAGAGTGGGGAGAGGGAGAAAGGGGCAACAGAAGAACAACAAGAACATCAGTCAGCCCACCTTCAAAAACAACGTCAGCCACTCTCAAACTTGAGAACCAACCTGGTTGTCTTCTTTATCAATACTAGAGTTATCTCGCTTCAAGATAAACCGCTTCTGGGATTCTTCACCTTTTTCATCTTTTAAATGTTCACAAAACCTTTGCTCTGGTCTGCCAGCAAAGTAAAACATATCAATAAAAAAGTTTTCTCCCCTGTTTCAAGTTATTTCTTAGTGCTGTTTTTCCCCCACAGTGGCATTCAACTTTAAAGAAAATGTTCACATGTGGTTTTGATACTAGAATTGCTGGCAATATACAGGTAGGTAACAGGTTGCTTCACAGGTGGTGGTAGAATACCTTTGGTTGGTTTGAATTCGGTGTCCTGTTTGCTGCATGCTGCTCACAATGGCTGAAGCTAAAAAGATATTTTAAAGGCCTGTACATATATAGTCTATAGATGTTTGTATCGTTATCTGGACCTCCATTACTCTTGAATTTAATCAAGTCCCCGCCCATATACTAGAACAGATATACATGGTTAGAACTTGGGAGTAATACATTAATTCACAAACGCTGGGACACTAGGAGAGAACATCTCCCCGCATAACCTCCTTTTTCAGAAGCCTCTTAACCTACAGGGAGAGGATCGCGTATAAATTATTGCCATCTTTCTCCAGTGACAGCTGCCCTGGAATGTGGCTCCAGGAGGCTCTGACATCTGTGACCAAGTCTTGGAAATCAGTTCGGTAATTGGAGAAATTGGAAATGTTTAGTTTAAACAACGTCATGACTGATTAGCATGGGGAAAAGGCTCCAAGCAGTTACACACTATTGATCAGTCAATCAATTTTTTTAGTTCCTTTTAATTATTTTGTATTATTACAGGAAAAGGGCTCCACTTCCTTGTTAATTTCCCACAATCACCCTGCACTTCAGAGAACTTAATGGACGGCTTGGGCTTTGGTTCATGCCCAGAGGAAGCTCTGAAATATTTGTCCTGGGCTTTGTAGCAGTTAGTTTTGCCGGTCACTAAAGTGTCTGCCATATCTGATGCATTACTTCTGAAGCTCTGTGGGTTTTCTGCCCCTACTGGGTTCATTACACATTCAGTCATTGGGAAGCCACTTCAAAGTACCTGTTGTTTACTATGGTGACTGGTGATTAAGGCAATGCCATTGTTTCCTTATAGATCTAAAAATAAGTAAATAGCACTTGGAAAACAATGGATTAGTTTAAGTGTATAATTCAAACATTGGTGGGGTGCATCCTTTCCTTAAATACAGATACATAAATTACAATAATAGTGATGAACGGACACTAACAAAATCGGAATAATACAAGTTATAGTTTCTAGAACTTTGTATAATATTTATAAAATGATACCATTATCTTATTCAAGCCTTAAAATAAAACTGTGATGTAAGCGGAAGAAATATATTTTGCCTCTTTTACAGATAAATAAACATCTCTCAGTGATCATTTTGGCTCCAAGTTTATCGAAATGTCCACTAAGCTAGAGATAACAGTCTATTTACATCGTTGTACACACATGAGTCAGGCTCTCCCTGCTGATTCAGTATACAGTGGGCCAGAGCCCCTCGAACCTCACTATAAAAAAACAAAAACCCTGCATCACATCATCTTAACTATCAGTGTAAATGTTTTCCACCAAAATTAAAAATGTAATAAAATATAACAAATGATCTGGAAGGGCAACTATGACATTTTAATCAAAGCACTAAGGGAGCAAAGGAAACTTGAACTTTATAGAAAGGAAACCACTTACAGTAGAGAAATTAAACATATTTGGGGTAGCAAAGTCACAACCCACTTCAGTTACTTATCATACTGTAAAGTCTTCTAATATTAGCATGAACAGTTGAAGATCACTGTAAATGGTAACAATTCTCCTGGAATTTTTTGAGCATCTCAACATCTTTAATCAATACTTAGATGTTATATATATTTTTTTATGTAGCCAGTGAAATTAGGACATTAACTTAAATACAAATGCTGATTGTACCAATGCCAATTAAGTCTCTCCTAATATCCCCAAGCTCTGTAGTCTGATAAACTCTAGTAAATGAAATGCTTTTCTTGCTGCTAAATTTATAGATGCATTTCTTGTATCTCTTGTTAACAGTCTGTAACTGTTCTTTCAGAAATAAAATGGAATGAGAATTCACGAGCATAAGGTGAATTTGCTTTAAAACAAACTCTTCTTTAAGATGGAAAACAGAGAGAGAGGCTTCAGCACACTAACCACATTTGGAATGTAAGTTCCATTTTGGTAAGAACCTTCTTTTTTAAATATATAACTCTCAGTGCCTAGAACTGTGCCTGGCATATGGGAAGGATTTGGTTAAATAAATGAATCAATGTGTGAATGAATAAACATTTAGTACAGCTGTATATAAATTAAGTAATTAAAGGAAGGATCAAAGGGTCACTGAATAAGATAGGCAGTCATACATTTTAAAATTATAAAACAAAACAGGAGTTTGGTTAGTAGGGGCATAAGTTCAAATTTATAACATTAGGGAGATCTTTAAAAGTCAAATCTATGTTTTGCTTTAAGTGGACCCAAAATAATCATGTTATTAAAGTTTCTAAAATTTGAGAGTATTTTGGGGAGAGAGGTAGAAATAAGAATCTTACCTTTTTTAGTTTTGGAATTCCTGTTTAAAGTGTTATAACTATGAGAGAGCTACTAAAACATGATTTTTGAAATTTCATTTGCATTCTTTTATAATGCTAGTTTATTTGTTTTTCTTATCAGGACTTATTTACGTAAAAGCCTCTATCACATAAGCAAAGGGTAGTCAAAGGAACTTGTGCTAATCAATAATGTAAATAATAGTTAGAGCAAGAATATTTCTTACTCTGATATAAATTATACAAAGTGCATTCTCCATAACTGCTTTTCAAATATCTTACTTAAATTTTTTCAAACAGTGGAACCTAATGGTCCAAATTATTAATCCTTTTCATGATTATTCCAAAAATTCTTTCAGTGATCATAAAGTAACCATTTGACATATGCCTAACAGGAATAAACCTTCTAAGATCTCTCCAGGTTAGTTTTTAGAGAGAATTATTCATGACTCTAAAGCTAAAGAGCAATTTGCAGTTGAAACTCATGGAAACCATAGTATATAGCTGAAGTATTGCATGTGATTAAAAGAAAAATTGCTGGTAATGCACTATTATATTATACAATTTAAACACCTTTTTTTTTTATCACTAACTTAACATCACAGCAGTATTATTTCTTAGGCATAAAATGAGTGGAACCAAAGTAATATGCTATGAATCTTTTTTTAAAAATGAGAATAAATTGTTTTTAACGTATCAATATAAGGATGAAACTAAGGAAAACTCCGCAAGGCTGCAAAATGTAATTGTCTTTATTAAGTTAACGATAATGAGAATTTACTACTTATCTCATAGCCATGCATCACAGGTGCCTAAATTTCTTATTTCCAGTGGATATTAGTCCATGAGGTATTATTTTTAGCTTTCTCTATATCATCATCAAAAGGCAGAGAAAATGAATTTTTCTTCTTGATGAAAAAAATAGTTTTCTCTTCTAAGGTAAAACAAGCTTTCCCCCCCACAGTTTGTAGCACTGTGACACTCCTTGTCCAGGTGCGGTGAACAGCGCTGGTGTCCCCGACCAAACCTTTCGCAGGTGAGAATTAACTCCTCATTGTTCCTCAGTAGACAGCTACTGAATTGAGGTGTGGGGTGGCTGAGTGAAGCATTGTGCAAGACAGTTAAACTCTTCTAGTCAATCAATTCCAATTTTAGTTAGATGTTTTTCTCTTTCAGCTTAAAATACATAAGCAATTTTTATAATTATTTTTTTAAATCTTTTTGCTCTAAAAGTATTTGCAGTGGTTTATTCTCACTGCCAGTTTCTGGAGACCAAATTTATTACTTCCAAACAGGCTGGTCCTCCTCCAGCCCCTTCCCTCACATACACACTAATGAAGAATTCAATTCTAAATATGGAGGTATACCAAGCCTTTGAATTTCATATTGAATAACTGAAAGGTGGTAATCAGTATGCATACATATTTAAAATATTTTATCCTGTGCACAACAGGAAAAAAAATATCTGGGTAGTGTAAGACATTTATCAAAAATATTTAAAGCCAAACATATTAGAGGAATCTAAGTGGCATTGGTCCCTTAATACTTTAAAACTGTGAATTAAAGTATTTGCAACTGCTTTTCTTCTTTCCACTATTATTTTGTAATTTTATACAATTTTATTCTCTTTTAAGTAAGGCTATACCTTATAAATCCAATACAGTCAGTGCTATCAAGCTTCCTTTATTAGCATCTTTCAAACATATGTTCTCAATTCTCGGCATCTTTCAAAAATTCATTTTATGCTTCGTTTTTATTGTGTACTGTATATATAAAAAGGGACATGCAAACTGGAATAGGAACCACCTTGAACCTTCTTTAAGATAAGGCTTCATGAGCAAAATTAAGCAGAATAATCAAAGACCACTGGGGTCTGTAAGACTTGTCTTAGTTTGGTACCACTGCTCTCGCACACTGGCTGTAGGCATTGAGAACCTGGAAAAGTGTCAGCTCACCTTGCGAAAGTGATTCTACGTCTAAGAATGAAACCACAGGAAATAGTAATGAATTAATACACAGTTCCATTGATCAAGACAGCAAAACAAGGGAAACCTATGGTGGATTGGTTAAGTAACTTAAAATAGCTCCATGTATAATATGCAGATTTATAAATTGAAATTCAATACTATTTACTAACATAGAAGAGCAATTTATAAAAGAATAGATAACGTGATCATATTTGTTGAAATTATAATATGTAATAATAATAACAGAAGCTGTCTCTGGAAGCTGCGATAATGGACAAGTTTTACTGCTAATCTTTGATATATTTTTGATTATTGTAATAAACATGTAGTATTTTATAACAACAAATTAATAAAAACTATTAGTTTGGAAAAATAGGAAACAAATTCAACAATTTGAAAATGGTTTGTATCTAATCACTGGATTATGCGCAATTAAAATAGTCTTATATTCTCAGTAGTTTCTCAATTTCCTTTCATGGCCTATATTATCTTATAGTCAGCTAAAATGAACATCTAGCAGTTTTATTTTGTCACCCAATTCTTAGTCTT